AGGCAGTCGTTAGAGTAGAACAAGGGAATACTAAACCAAACCAAACCTGTTGCCTTCGAGTTGATTCCGACTCATAGCGACCCTATAGGACAGAGTGGAGCTGCCCCAAGGGTTTCTGAGGAGCAGCTAATGGATTCGAACTGCCGACCATTTGGTTAGTAGCTGAGCTCTTAACCACTGCACTAGCAGTGCTCCAAGGGGGATACTGTGTCGTTTAAAATCAGGAAAGGTGTGCGTCAGGGTTGTATCCTTTCACCATACTTACTCAATCTGTATGCTGAGCAAATAATCCAAGAAGCTGGACTGTATGTAGAAGAACAGGGCATCGGGATTGAAGGAAGACTCAGTAACAACGTGTGATATGCAGATGACACGACCTTGCTTGCTGAAAGTGAAGAGGACTTGAAGCACTTACTGATGAAGATCAAAGACTGTAGCCCTCAGTATGGATTACACCTCAATATGAGGAAAACAGAAATCCTCATAACTGGATCAGTTAGCAACATCATGATAAATGGAGGAAATATTGAAGTTGTAAAGGATTTCATTTTACATGGATCCACAATCACTACCCATGGAAGTAGCAGTCAGAAAATCAAATGACTCTTTGCATTGGGCAGAGCTGCTGCAGAAGACCTCTTTAAAGTGTTAAAAAGCAAAGATGTCACTTTGAGGACTAAGGTGCGCCTGACCCAAGCTATTGTATTTTCAGTCATCTCATATGAATGCGAAAGCTGGACAGTGAATAAGCAAGACCGAAGAATTGGTGCATTTGAATTATGATGTCGTGAAGAATACTGAATATACCATGGACTTCCAGGAGAATGAACAAATCTATCTTGAAGAAATATAACCAGAATGCTCCTTAGAAGTGAGGATGGCAAGACTTGGTCTCATGTACCTTGGACATGTTATGAGGAGGGACCAGTCCGTGGAGAAGGATATCATGCTTGGTAAAGTAGAGGGTCTGCAAAAAAAAGGAAGATCCTCAACGAGATGGATTGACACAATGACTGCAACAATCAACTCAAACATAGCAATGATTGAGAGGATGGTGCATGACCCGGCAGTGTTTCATTCTATTGTACGTAGGGTCGCTATGAGTCGGAACCAACTCGACTGCACCTAACAACAACAACATCCCTAATTCTTCCCTCTGGCAGGATCTTCCTTGTATGTTATACTCCATGCCCATACCTGAGGTGGGCAATGGAGAATTTTCTCGTGGGCTGCACAGTTTTGTAGGCTTCTTCCTGCTAATACAAATTTGTGGGCCTGAGATTGGATTCAGGAGTCAGTCATAAATTTGTAAGCCAGTTTTGTGATTTTTATATCAATTTAACACCCCCTCTCAAATTAGTAGACTTCCAGTCTATAAGTGTGTCCATGTTCACATCCAAGAATTACGTCTAAATACTGTTTTGTAGCCTGGCACTGCTCTCTTACTTCCGTGTCTCTCTGCTTTGCTCATGTTTCTTTTCTTCAATATACGGGTGACTCTCTTGAGATCTTCTAAAACAATAAGCTTAAGTGGGAAGGCAGCGACCTTAATCTGATCTTTGATAACTGGACTGGTTTTATTGTGTGGCCTAGAATTCTTAAAGGAAAGTGGTTAAAAATGGCTTGAGCCACAGTCTTTTCTCCTCCAAAGGCTATCACTTTGGAGCAGTACTTTTAACTATTTTATTTTGGGATTCAGAAACAGATTTTTCAACCCTGCCAGGCTCAAACCTCCAAATTACTGGATTCTCAGTTAACTTAGATTGAAAGACATCAGAGTAGTGCCTTCTGCATTTACCTGCTCTAAGCCAACACCACATATTTTAGGTTCTTGGAGCAACTTAGTTCAAGAGAGTATCAGGTCATCCATGAGTAGTGTGCTCCTTTACAACATCATCTATATGAGACCAAAAGGTCAACGTTTACTCAAAAGCAAAGATGAGAAAGCAAGGGGGCCGGGAAACTAGATTACTGGAAACATAACGACCAGAACAGAAATAATGAGAAAGGTGACACATTGTGAAAAATGTAACTAACGTCACTGAATAAATTGTGGAGAAATTGTTAAATGGGAACCTAATTAGCTGTGTACGCTTTCACCGAAAACACAATAAAATATTTTAATTTAAAAGAGCATAAGGGAATATCACAGGCTTCAGGATTAGGTTCAGGTGCAAGTACAGAGACCCAAATTAACACTGTATTGAACAAACAAGAGGTTTATTTCTTAAGTAAAAGTCTGGAGGTAGGTAGTCCAGGGTTGGTATGGTGCTCCATGTTGCCAGGAGGAAAAAGAAAGACAAACTCACTTGCAATAGATCACTTCCAGTACTACACCATTGGCCAGAACTATTCATATGCCTCCACCCAGGAAGACTAGAAAAATAGTCTTTATTTTGGGCAGTCATATGCCCCAGTTAAATATCAGGTATTCCAGTATTGTAGAGGAACAAAGGAATGGATTTGGAAGACAGCTGACAGTCTCTGCCACAGAGAGTTTATACAAATATTAAAAGATATTAATATATGGACAAATCAGGACATTGCAATGCAGTTTTTTGATGCATTTGATGCATTCTTAACAAAGCAGCCAAAATGATATTTAAAAAAAAAAAAAATCGCTCCCTTGCTCCTAACATTTCATAGGCTGTCTAATTCACTCAAAAGTCCTAACAATATTCTACAAGGCCCTATTTCTCCATCTCCTCCATTGCCTCTCTAACCTCTTTCTAATACTGTCCTGCTTGTTCGTCTACTCATAGACTCTTGCTCTTCCTCACACTTACTAGAAATACCCTAATTTAGGACCTTCTCACTCTTCACTAGATATCTGCATGGCTAACTCCCTTGCCTCCGTCAAGACTTTGCCCAGATGTTACCACTTCAATGAGAACTATGCTGACCACTAACCACCCTGTTTAAAATGATGATTCCCTCTACCCCCGTACACCCAATCTGGCTTTCCCTGATTAATTTTTTCCAGAGTACTTATCACCCTCCATCGTCTATACAGTTTAATTATTTATTATGTTTATTGTCTATTATCTGTTCCCACTAGAATGTAAGCTCCCCAAGGGCAGAGGTTTTTCCTCCTTTTTTCACTGAGGAATTCTGTGTGCCTAGAACAATGCCGGGTTAATGTAGGTTCTCAGTAAATAACTTGTGAATGAATGAATGATTTTATTTCCGAACAGCAGTAAAAATGTAAGAGTAATTTTTTTTATTTCCTTACAAGTAATATCGTTCCTTTTAGTTTTGGTATATCATGTTACCTTGGGACTCCTCCTTACTGTCTTAGTGAGGTACATCAGAAAAGAGACTGTATAGCTATTTTTTTATATAAATTTTTTTTATTGTACTTTAGGTGAAGGTTTACAGAACAAATATTTACTCATTAAAGTCAGTACACATATTGTTTTGTAACATTGGTTAACAGCCCCACAACATGTCAACATGCTCCGTTCTCGGACTTGGAGGGCCTTTTTTTTTTTCTTTTGTTGAAAATATACATAGCCAAAGATACACCATTTCAAAAATTTCTACATGTACAATTCAGTGATGTCTATCACGTTCTTCCAGTTGTGCTGCTATTCTCACTTTAGATGAAGGTTTACAGAACAAAATAGTATCTCATTAAACAGTTAGTGTACATATTGTCCTAAGACAATGGTTAAGAACCCCACTACATGTCAACACTGTCCTTACTCAACCTTGGGTTCCCTATCACCAGCTTTCCTGTCCCCTCCTGCCTTCTAGTCCTTGTCCCTGGACTGCTGTGCCTCATTAGTCCTGTTTTGTTTTATGGGGCTGTCCACTCCCCGGCTGAACAGTGAACCTCGGAAGTGACTTCACCACTGAGCTAAAAGGGTGTCCAGGGGCCATACTCTCGGGGTTTCTCCAGTCTCCTTTAGGCCAGTAAATCTGGTCTTTTTTTTTGTGTTAGAATTTTGTTCTACGTCCTTCTCCAGCTCTGTCCAGAACCCTCTGTTGTGATCCTGGTCAGCGCATTCAGTGGTGGTAACCGGGCACCATCTAGCTGTACTGGACTCAGTCTGGTGGTCAGCACTGGAGTCAGTCTGGTAGAGCCCTTGGTATTTTTAGTCAGCATTGCTTAAGTAAAGGCATGCTAACATCTTAGAAAGGACCCAAAAACTTCTTTAGAATTATTGTTTTGTTGTTAAGAAATTTTTGGTTGCCTGTGTGTATTACTCAGGATTTCTTTGTTGCAAGTAAGAGAATCTCAACTCAAACTAGCTTAAGGAAAAAAAAAATCTGTTGACTCATACCTAGGAAACTCAAGAGATGTGATTGTTTTTTAATAGCTGGTTTCAGAGATTCAAATGTTGTCATCTGAAATATACTTTACTTTCTCTCTCTCTCCATCTCTCACTTTTGCTTTCAAATGTTTTGGCTTCATTCTCAACGATGGAGATTTGCATTCTTCTTAATGGTAGCAATTCCAGAGAATAGATCGTTACTTATTCTTCCTTGCCAGGACTCTAATTTGCCAGTCACTGAGTCTGGGGAATGAGGCACTTTGATTGGCTAGCCTTGGACACACTCACTTCTCTGCCTAGAAGGCAAGGCCACATAATTGACTCCCATCAGAATCGGAGGAAGGTAGGTTCCAAAAGGAAGGAATGAGAGCAGACAAAAAAGAAAAAGCACTGTGCTGTGCCTTTTCAGCAACATATTCCTCATGTAGGTTTGCTTATATATGTGGGTTTCTATCAAGCAGCAAAAATTAAAATATTTTGCAACAGGTTAGCATTTTTTTTTCTTAAGTACGATTGTGCCAATTATAGGCTTAGATTCATAATTTTGTCTTCCGTTAGGCTTTCATCTCTAATGGAGTTAATGTCTAATGGAATTTCATATTTAGTAATTACTGCCCAGCCTAGAACATTATAAGGAAATCGTTGTGATTAATGACCAGCCTCATTTTATTACCCAGGAGGATTTTACATTTTAAATTAAATAACATTCTTCATCACTCTTAGCTGAAAATGGCAAAAAGAGAAGCAGAAGATCACAGTGCAGCACTTTCTCAGTCTTCTTTATCATCCTTGACTAAAGCAACAAAAGTATCACAGCAAGGTAACCCTGAAGGCGCCTTGGATGGGAATACTGTGGACCCAATTCACACATATATTTCAAATGATTTACCAAGGTAAGAATATTATCTGAGCAGCTTAAACTTAATTCTGAAGGGGAGAAAAGTACTTACAGAAAGTTCTCTATGTAAATATTCAGGATTTGGTGGAGGTGATGCAAATAATAATTTGGAGATGTGATGGGCTACAAAGGTTGTTGTCTGGGTTAGAGCCTTTGAATTTTTTCCACTTTGTGAGAAGAAAATGATAATTGGTGCAATAAATATGAACTATCCCTGGAGGCTGACTTGAACAGGTTGCATAATGATAATAACAATAATGGCAGGTAATATTTGCTATGAGCCAGTTACCATCCTAAGCGCTTAACCTGCATCATGTCAACTGAGTTCTCACAACAGCTCTGGGAGGTATATAATAAGGCACATATTATTCTAAACATCTCCATTTTACAAATGAGGAAAAAAAGACTTAGAGAAGTTAATTAACTTGACCAAGATCTGATAGCCAGTAAGTAGAGAAGACACAGTTTGAACCCAACTGATCTAATGCCACAGCAAGATCTCTTAACCATTATATTCCACAGTGCCTCTCAGGGGTATAAAGCAGAGGAGACAGGAGTATTTTTTCTGGGTTTTTTTTTTTTTTGCTGTATTAGAAAGTAAAAGAACTAAAAAGCATCTGTCAGATGTTGATAAACTCTTGGCTGGCTAAATGTGATGCCATAGTCTGTGTTAAATAGAAAATTGAGAATATAAAAGCATCAAAAGAAAATATTCATAAACTGGAGATTACGTTAATCTCTTTATAGAAGTGCTAGGTTATATTTCTGTTTTAGAACAGTTTGATTGTTTGGTTATTTTTTTATACCTCCTCGCCTCTTTTTTTAGTGTCTCTAAGTGAAACCTGGAGCCGTGGTGGCACAGTGGTTAAGAGCTCGGCTGCTAACCAAAAGATCAGCAGTTCAAATCCACCAGCCGCTCCTTGGAAACCCTATGGGGCAGTTCTACTCCGTTCTATAGGGTTGCTATGAGTTGGAATCGACTCAAAGGCAATGGGTTTGGGTGTTTTTTTGTTTTAAGTGAAACCTAGACGTTCAGCTAATCTTTTTCTCTTCTCACGTTATTCTTCTGAGCTGTAAGTGCATATTAGCGGCATATGAGATTCTTTACACAGTGCAATGACTAGATATTATTTTTAGTGAACACCCTGTAGTTAAATAGTAGGGATGTAAGTCCTCGGGACAGTATTCTTTCCAATAAGATGATGGAAAAATTGTCTAAATAGAATTTTCAAATATTCCTTTATAGAAAAGTCAATTCTAATATGTTTATTTACATGCATTTTTATTTCCTTTAGAGTTTATTTTTACAAATTTTCCATTTCAAAAAGATGTTCTATTCAGTTTTTATTCCAACTATTTTTTCTACTTAAGTAACATTTTTAGCTGCTTAATTTTTGTTGTTAGAGATAAATGTACTTATTCAGTTTCTTCCTTCCTTTTTCTTGATTATTTTCTTTCTTTGATTCTGAGTCTCTTTAACTCTGGCTGTATTTGTCCTTTTTATTATATGTCAGTCTTTCTTTTCATGTGACACTTTCCTACTGCCTGTTTTTTTTTTTTTTTAGTTTTTGTTTCAGTGTGCGTCTTCTGTTTCTTTGTCTGAATCCTAACTTCTGTCACGACTGCCTGTTACCATCAACTTTGATTGTGATAAGTGTAGAAAATTAAGTAACTCTCTTCTTGGTAATTGAATGGAAAGTCAAAAGACAAGGTCCAGAGGTCTTTTACCTTTTTAAAAAACAAAATAATGAGTTTCAATCTGAAAGGGATCAAGTTCATAAAGGCTAATGGTAATCTGAGATTTGATAGTATTAATATGATTATCAGAGAGAGGCAATTTTCTCCAGGTGTAAAGGCATTTTCTCCTTGATTGAGGTTAAAATTTCTCTTGTCTCATTCTTGTTTTCTTTGCCACCTTTCTTCCACTAACTTTATGGTATTTTTTATGAGAAATAATTATTAAAATATAGTTGATTTGTTTTTCTTTTACTTATATCATAGAGGTTGTGCTTATCTTCACTAATTAGCACTTTGTACTTTTTTTTACAAAATACATCAACATATATTAAACGCATTCATTGCAACCATACAGTGACCAGTAACTTTATTCTCATGCTGTTATCTGATTCTGTTAATGTACTCTTTATTATATTTGCATCATCCACTCTTCTTTCTTCTTTTCCTTGTGTTCTGTCAATGTTGGTTTTTTTTTTCTTTTCTGCTGTCACTCTCTTCTGCATTTGCTTGTAACAGAGTGAAACCTGCTGTACCAGGATCCTTCCCCCCAACAAAAAAACTAATCACAGTGTGAGATGAGTTCAGTTTATTGTGCCAAAGAAGTTCCAACCCTTACATTTTATAACTCACCACTTGGGGGTCAGTTGACTGGAAAAGTCTAGCCTCATTCCTGTGGCTGCCTTCCTGAAAGCAGCACGGTAGGAACCTTCTCCTACCCAGCTGCTGTCTGATGTATTCCCAGGTGACCTGAAATGGAGTCAGCCTTTGAGACATGGATGGCAAAATCAGTTATTTATTAGTAAGACTGGTATACAGGAGCAGACCCGCCATATTCATAGAAGGTACCTCCAAATGCTCAAGTGGAAGATTTCCAAATTATAGTTGCATTAAAAAATTAAGAGAATATTATAAACAACCATTATCTCTTTCTGTCTCACATATAAAATACTTTGTTTTAATGACTTTCGACTGGTGATCAACTAAGGAATGTAATTTCATTATTTTTATAATAGAAAATTGCAGTATTTTTTGTCTTGCTGGCAATTGAATGTATTATCAATTCTTTTAGGTGCCTGAGAAAGCAAATTACTTTTAGTAAAGCATTAAATGAGAATGTAAAGTGAGTTTTTAAAAAGTGAATGCCAACAATTTTTAATTATAGATGGATTGTCTGCATTGTTTTTTCACAGGCCAATCTTGATTTTTAACAGCACCTAATCTATTTACAGAAGAGCCCTGGTCACACAGTGGTTAGGCACTCAGCTGTTAACCAAAAAGTCAGCGGTTTGAACCCACTAGCTGCTCTTTGGGAGAAAGATGTGGCAGTCTGCTTCTGTAAAGATTTACATCCTTGGAAACTCTATGGGGCAGTTCTTCTCTGTTTATAGAGTAGCTATGAGTTAAAATTGACTTGATGACAACAAGTTTAATCTATTTACTCACTTCTTAATGTCATTTTACTTGTCTTGGGTGTTTTTAATTGGAATGATTCTTGGACCCTTTTTGAAATATAAACATTTGATTATCTAGCCTTTTCTAGGGTTTAAATTTGGTAATGTCATCATTCCAAAAATAAACTGTCAATTCCCAACATGGAGTGGGGGGCAGAAGGGAGTGACAGATAGGTAGCAATAGTGAAGCAAAGCCACTCATTCATTATTTTAGACCTCTATTGCCCAACAAATTACACTTTCCCTAGTTTATAAATTTTTTCCTTTAAGTCTTTTTCGTATCTGTACAAATCTAAGCGTTAATATATTATTTCTTTTTTAAAATGTTAAAAGATTAGTTCACTGTTTTTGAAAATTTAAATTTCCTCTTGAAAAAATTTTAATTATATGTATATATAACTTCCCCCAATTTTAGATTTAATATGTGCCTTATTTTTATTATTTGTACTTTTTCACAGCAGAAGTTTTTTTTTTTTTTTTTTTTCCTTTTGGGTGGAATAATTTAGGCTCCCAATCCTATACTCAGGATCCTTTATGTAGCTTAGAAACTTCTCTTTTTTATAATTCCTTCTTCTACAAAAGCAAACTGATTGAATTTAACAAACATTTATTGAATATCTCCTAAGTAGTATACATGTGGTTTGAATATAACGCATGGTTATTGTTCAATCATTGAGTTTCAAGTAAAATTGGACAGATTATGTGTTATAAAATAACCTAAAATTGCTCTGCAACTGGGATGCAACATCTAGACTAAATTAAACTATATTTCCTCTGGAGTTGGAAATAAAATTTGTGGGGAATTTTTTACTTTTATTATATTTCTTTTTCTTTTCTATGATGTTTAAATTACATTTTATCCAAGAATAACCTCTTTGGATGTTATTCATTACAGCAAGATGGGAAAAGGGCAGGATGAAGTTTAATGAAATTTTTGTGATTTGTATACTCCAGAGATTTCAAAAAAGTTCACATTCACCAAACATATGTGGGGTTGTGTATTTTATCAGTCTCATTCTAGTATTTTAAACTGTTGATGATTTATTATTGAACATACAGTCATTTTCCTTTGGGATTATATTTTCTTATTTGTATATATTCCAATTAGAGAGTTTAATTACCATTAAAATGTTAATAGGATAAAGATAAGTTTTACAAATGACAATATTAAAAAAAAAAATCCCTATAACTCTTCAGGAAGGTTTAAATGCCATAAGAATATAAAGCAAGAAATACATGCTTGTCAAATATACAGTATAAATAAATAATTTAGATGAAAATGGGTGACTACATTTAACAAAGAGACTACCAAATAATGAAGGGCTAAAGAGTGGTTGTTAGATTTGATGTACTTCATTGTATATTGTAAGTAATTGCTATCCATAGAAATTCTATGGCTTCTGTATAAGAAAAAGAGACATTTTGACAGGCAACACTGGTATGAAGCGACAGCAAGTACAAATCCTTGGCAACTGTCATTATCCTGCTGTTGAATTCGTATCCAAACTGTAATAACTTAGACCTGCATGTTTGTTACTGAGCAATGGTCTTTCAAAGTAGCCATACTGCCTACTTATGAATAGAATTATTTGCCTCATGAGGTTTTATGTCATAGAATCTAAACTTGCTTAGGATGCTTTGTGTTTCAAAAAGGGTGGAAATAAAAACCCTATGTCATTTTATGCTTATGCTGACATTTCTGATTAAACTTTCCTGATTAATTACAAGTAGACTTTTTAGAAAATACCATATTAGTTTACATATTAGCCCATTATGTAATTAACTCAACATTAGGAAAATTTTTAAT